TGACTAATTTTGATGTTACATTGTAGGATGTTGTGGAATTTGATAATAGCAAGGCTGACTTGCAACCTTTTCAAGAGATGCTTTCTCTGCTAGCTTCCTTTTTGGCATTGCTCCACCTTTCACTGCAATGCGCGCGACGAATTCCGGTGGAAGAGGATAGCCTCATTCATTCGTTTAAGGTTTGCATTGCTCCTTGCATTGAGTGAGGGTGGAAGGAGTGGAGATCGTCGGGGTCGGGGTCGACGTCGTCGACCGAAGAGAGCACGGCGGAGCTTTCGTCGGACGCCATAGAAGCACCGGTAGTAGTAGTAGTGAGTGGGAAAAATCACGGACCAGGAGTTGGAAGAAAAGGGAATATTGGAATTGGAGGAAAGGAGAAGCAAGTGGAGAAAACAGAGCTTAAAGAAGAGATTTGATGGTTGGTTCTTCCGTGAATGATTGATTCTGTTTGGGTTGGGTGGGAGACTTTGGAGTAGCGGATAATTAATTGGTCTCAGAAGAAATTAGGGTTTTTTATTTATTTTAAATGAAAGTGATAATGAGGTGGAAATGAGATGACAATTTTAAAAAAATTAATTTTATTAGTTTTAAATTGTCACGTTAAATGTAATATTTAACGGACAACTTTTAGCGCAGACCACCAGACAAAAGTTGACGGAATTAGACGGAAAGTGACCAAACGTGAACGATCCACCTCATTCTCCACCCCTGCTACAATGCAGAATCAAAATCAATATACAAGGAAAAGGGTCAAACAAATATTCACATGTGATGACATCAAAACAAGTTTCACATGATGGTGTGGTGGAACAACTTTTGCCATTGATTTTTACTTCCAAGTAAAGCAAAGTCGTCATACCTCTTATCTCTCACTCTCTAACTATCTCTTTCTCATAGATAGCTATGTGGCAACTTGTTTCCCAATATCAAAACGCATTACTGAAAAGGAAGGTAGCAACCCGCCTTCATGAATACTACTACTAAACCATCAGCTTCAGTCCTTCTGTTTCTTCTTCTGGTTCTGGTGCTAACATCTTCCATGGCGATGGCGGTCTCACGGAGGAATTAGTGGCGGCCCCGCCACAGCTCTGGCGATTCTGGAGGAGCAGAGTGGAAGAGGGTGAATCATGGAAGCAGCCACGAGCTCACATTGCTAATCCAACTCTTCGTGACCAACCTAAAAAGCATTTTATCACCTTCCTAAGTTGGTTCTGTAACTCTTCATCTCATATAGGCCTGCTGTTTCTGGGATTAGTATTAGCCTTCTCATATGTGTAATTACCATGATGTTTTCTCATCTCATGTACTTATTGTTGACATCGGCGTTCTAATGTGTTACAAACTAAAAAAACAAGAGCTGAATTTCCAAGGAGTCATTTGAATAAAATGCCATTTGATAGCTTGATAATCATGATAGCATGCACTGAAACAAGTGCATGTCAATTGCAGAAATACTTCAATATTGTAACTGTCTGATCACCCAAAATGCTGGCAACAATTGTCAGCACAACAGAGAGCTGAACTTTTGTGACAGATTTTACAATCAGCAAAAGGTTCAATTTTTACACTAATTACTGTAATAAATATACAAGGGCAACCGCCAAGTCCGGGTTTCTAGATTCCAGAAGCATTACATTCTTCCAGCAGCTTGAGTAGATTATGTTCAGGGGCACTGACCGATGGTAGAATCAACCGATTTGACGAGCGCATGGGAGGGGGTCGACGAGGGCCTGCAGATTCAGGTTCAGGGGTACCACCACCATCTTCTCTCATGACTGGCAAGTCGTTTCGTCTTCTCACGGTTGCAGATACCCTCTCTTTCCATATTCGCCCATCCTGAAGATCATTTTCGTCAAACTACTTGGTTAGAAAATCTCCAAAACTCTGAACTTGAAAAGCATCAATGGAAGGATACATGATTCTACATGTCATATATAATGTTAGCATAGTCTTATGTTCATGGTATGATGTCTTAGTGCAATATCTTTGTGTATGAGATATCTAGGAGCCATTGCAGATTTCTCTACTGAACAATTCTGTAACATCCCTCTTATGGGTTAGGTCTAACATAGCTTTACTCAAAAGGGAGTTATTTATACAGTTCCCGATTCATTAACAACAACAAGCAGCTTCACCAGTGCGTTAGTCCCACCTAGGTAGAACTTGGACACTAGAATATTAACTTCTGAGCAGAGAAGCTTTTCCTATCATCAAGATGTCTTATTCAATCCCATTTCGAACACCAAGTAAAAAAAGACACAAGAAAAGAATCTACAGCCCATATTCATTCCCATGACATCAAGCAAAGCAAGAACCTTTTCGCCCTTTCTTGCAAATCGACAAACATGGTTTGAAGTAGTGGGGAAGCTATGAACGTCTCTTGCAATAGAATACAGAAGGGGAAAAAGATACATAAAGAAGCACTTCAAGCTTACATTAAGAATTGAAGGTTCAGGTACTGGACACTGAATAGGCTGATCATTGTCGAGAGGCTCAATCGGGTGTTCGACTGGCTTAAACTCAACCGTCACCTGAATCCCATGGGGAGCAACAGCTGAAGCCACAGCCTCCGAGCCGGCCAGTTCCGTACTAGGGGGCAAAGCTTCCCTATCATCCTGCTACAGATACAACAAACCATACACATACTCGTGAGACAATAATTCAATTGGTGTTCTCAACGAAAACATATTGCAAAGAAGAACAACAAATCATTTCCACTTCTGAAACAAAGAGGTGCTACCCTTAATTGAAACAAATTCGTATTCTTGTGCAAATACCATGCAGATCTTTAGTAAATGATCTTAAAAGGAAAATGCTTCTCCTTTCAGCTTTGAATCATTGGCTTAGCTTCTTGCACTTCTCCATTCTGTCCCCAGCTTATGTGCTTCTTCTTAAATATGTGCGAAAGTTTAAACTCAAGTTCTCCACAAATTCATTTGTTTAACAGAATAACAGTGATCGTGCCGGACGAATGGTATCTAATGGAAGCTACCCAACTGCCCAATTATAGCGACAAGGAAGAAACAGGGGGGAAGAACAAGACAAAAGTCTCAAATTCAATCTAGAGATTCGAAAAATTCTTCACTGACAGAAAAAAAAAAATGAAACATCGCCAAATTGATTCAACCATCAAGGCATCAAATCATCATCGAAAGTCTTAATTAACACTTAGCTCATTCCACAAAACACAAGATATACAAGGAAGTGGGAACTGGGAAAGCAAAAAACAATCACGAGTAGAAGTCAATCCAATCCATTGCAGCAGCATAGCAAACAGTTCAGTCTCTAACTAGTCAACTGCTATAAAAAAAAACCCCAGATGAAAAATCTCTGCCACAAACCGAAGGAGCCTAACAGTTACTACCCACGAACAAGAACAAACTAAAGTTTGCAGCTTTGCAATGGAAACAAGAGCAGAAGAAGACTCGAGCAAAAGGGGTTGTCTTACAAGGGCGCTTTGAGTTCGTCTGTGAGAAGCTCGTCCGACGGAGAGTCTGGAAAAAATTCCCACCATATCGTCGGCGGAAAAATATACTGAATTCTCTGTTTTAGGCTTCGCTTTGATCTGCTGCTCTCTATGAATATAGACCCTCCTCTACTCTTCTCTCTCTCTCGGTTTCTTTCTATTTAGCAAAGAAACTGTTCATAGCGAAAACAGATCAAACAAGAAAACGGAAACAGCCCCGATTCGTCCTTCTTGTTTCTCTCCCTCTCTATTTTATTGTTGACTCTCCGGCTTCAGTTTCTCTTTGTTTTGTGAGGTTAGCGCAAGACTATCCAGCTAATATAATTTAGAAACTGAAAAAAAAAAAAAAAGAGAGGCTCTCTGTCAGTCTTCGTGGCAACGAAAGGTACCGGCTGATGTTGCTTGGCGCCGGAGCTTTGTTGGTGGCGCATTTGTGGTTTTGGATTCCCCTGTTTTCCACTACTAACAATATTATACACTCGTTGTGTAAAACAAAACAATATTATATAGTCCAATCAAGAATATCTCCCAAATATATAGATATAAAATGTTGTTTCCTACCTCTAAAAAATGTTGTAAGGGGAGTGTGATTAAAAGAAAAGACAAATTAAAGTCTTCATAATTGAGATTAAAACCTAAAAAAAGTCAAATCTTTCAGCCAACTAAAGTCAATGCTAATACCATGAAGAATTCATACCTACCTCTTGTTTCAATGGGTTTTACAAATGTATCTCTAAGATCTAGAATTAGAGAAGCTTTTAATAAGGGTAGATTGATTAACTGCCTTCCCTCATCAACAATAATCGGTAAGCTTTTAATAAGGGTAGATTGATTAATAACCAGTCTTCAAGAAGACGCGATTAATCTCTTGCCTAAGCGCGATTAATAGCTGGGCAGGAGGAAATCGCCACATCTAGCTCTAGGCGATTGATTTAGGCGTGCTAAACGATTAATCTCAATGGAAAACGCCTAATTGGTGCCTAGGCACTCGGAGGCGCTTTTTCAATCTGGTGGGCGACGCCCAAAACAACTAATGAAGGGGGAAAGTGTAGCTTTTTTTGTGAAAATCCCAAATCCTATTCTATTTCACATTTCCATTCGACCAGCAGCTCCCCTTCATTGACCAGCAGCGAGATCCCTCCTCATGGTTGGCGGCTTGGGATGTTTGGGATTGTGGAAAAGGGTTGTATGTGTATATGAATGAATAATGATATGGCAACCTGGATTTTTTGGAATATGGCTTATCTTTCATACTTTTTTTCAACGTTTAATCCCGCCTAGGCAACGACTAATCGGCCTGGGCGGTGTCTCCTCGCCTAGATAGTGCCTAGCGTCTTCTTGAACATTGTTAATAACAACATCCTTTTAGCACATGAGATGGTCAAATTTTCCCCCTATGTGTGTGCTAAAGGTGGACAAACTTGAACTTGTACGTTGTAAAGTTGTATGATAATATAAGAATACAAATTCATTTATGATACAGCATGAACTTATACATTTAACGTTATGGTATAATTTCAAATTGTACATTAAAGTGCCAATACTTTATAGCATAATAATAGTACAATTTCAAGTTTCTACATTAAAGCACAGCATTGTAAAAACGCTCTGTGAATTCCTCAATTCCCCTGGCTAGTCCTAATGGATAGGATCCACGCCTTAGATAAGATTAAAAAATGGTGCCATGGTAGTATCAACACCTCTTGTCTTCCAAAAACTGGATCCACACGTTAGTCGTCCAAAATCTAGAGCTAACCTGTTTCCAATGTGTCTTTCTAGTTTCTACCACAGGTGCTTCCCTTGTAATTTCTCTTCATCCAATTGGGGCTGGCAGGAGAGTCTTCATGGAAGATGTTCATACGTTCAAGAACTATAAGCAGGAGAGCTTAATACTGAACTCATGCACTTAACCGGGAAAAACAGGGGGCTCATTCCTTTTGGTTCTCTCCCTACCAAAATCACATGATACATAATACAACAGTAAACAGAGAACCAGGGAAAGAGAAAGACCGCCTCTTTGCACCAGACTAAGCTGAGATCCTCTGAAAGGGACAAACGTCAGTCTCCGGCGAGCACCCCCAAAAAGGAATCTGGAAACTTTTCGATCTTTCCACCATAGCCGCCAAAATTGTGGAGAGACAAGCAAGAAAGCTTGTTATTTAAGCCCCAGCCGGAATAATCTTCTGCTGTAGAACAGAAAGCTCAAAAACCTTTGCATGGTCCAATTCAAGTAACCATGGATCCTAAGTAAGCAAACACTCTTCTCCTGAATTTTTGAGCCAGTTCCATAACTTCGGACTCCATCGGTTGCCACGTTGGTCTGCTGCAGTAGTACCCTGGCATTGGCGTTTGTTCTTTTGAAGACAACCTGCTTGCAACCTCAATCGTCAAGCTCGCCATGTCTCTGCTACCTGTTAACACCCGCAGCACTATTGCCGAGGAACCTGGGTTGGACACGAGTCTATTAAGTAGTATCAGTGCCTCCCTAATTAGCATCGTCCTGTGGAAACCATATGGCGTTTGTCAAGCAATGAAACAAGGACATGGAAAGGAGAAAACTATGGTGAATATTTATATAGGTACCTTGCTCGAACTTTTTCTACAGGTTCCACTGAAACTGATGACCCTTCGAAGTTGGTTTCGGATGCCAATTCTTGCAAGATCAGCATAAGAAAATTCCCGCCTCCAACTAGTCGGCGACCAACAAGAATTTCATAACCAGACTTCTCAGAAGCAGCCACGAATGCCAGTGTAGAAATAGCCCTTTTGCAAAGTTCTATGTCCTGGAGAGGAGGAAAAAACAACTAGCTGTAGTCCGGCATAACTTTACGTTGCAATAATAAAAGAATCCACAATTAAAAGCAGAGAAGGGGAGTGACAAAGTTCTAATCAGCTATCTATCCAGAGAAGGAGAAAATGGAAGAGAAAAGTACTGTGAACATTTTCTCAATAAAAAAACAAATTAACAACGATTTCAACAGGAAACGGCTTGCATATATCAGCACCACTAAAGAAGATTCAAAACAAGTTACGTTAATATGCTTGCAATGAGAAACAAACCTGCAAACTATTGCCACGGCAAGAAATGCATTCTGCCAAGCCGCTGAGGATGAGACTGCATACATTGCCATTAGAGACAGTCTCCACATCTTTTGCAGCATTGGCACTCTGCTGATTGCAACTAGAGCAGAAACTGACCAGTAGCTTGGGACCTGTGTAACAACCGATCAAGACAGCAAGGTCATTGCATATATACTACTACTAATACAGAAGAGTAAGTAGAATAAAACAGCTTCAGCTCATATTTACAGTTTAGGAGCAAAAACAGCAGGCGAACAGCTTCCTTTTGCACGGACAAGCCAGCTTCCTTTTTGAGAAATCGTGCTATGCTTTCCAGTACCTTTTTAGTGCCAAACCTGTACAACATACATTAAGTAAGGTATTGCTCAAGAACAGAAAACACACAACGGAATGGTATGAAAAAAACTCACTTTTCCCTTTCCGCAGATGCATTACTTCTCATGACAACCAAGTTCATGATAGATATTGCCTCAACCCGCACCCGTACTTCAATATCTTCCGTGGAAATTTGTAGCATCATTTCGAATAGTAAATGCCAGTTTACACATGCCAAAGGAGATGCAAAGCTGCTATCTGCAAATCCATCTTGACTAAGAATTTGGGGGTCACGATTTCTAATCCCAAATGTGTTCGAGACATCATAAGACTCCTTGTGCCCCTGAATGACACTCAACAAAGTTGTATCCTTCCCGCTGTTGTCATGGTGAAGTCCCTCAACTTTGACATTGTCCCTGAGTAGAGTGCACTGAGAAGATCAAATCAAAGTTCACAAACGTCAAGAATGAACTTCCATCCTTAGTTCATAAACTAGAGACTTGTGACAAAAAAAACCAACATTATCTAACTAAGCATACATTATCAAGCCTTCAAACAGATATTTTAAATGACGATTAAAGAAATCACTGACCAAAATTTAAAGAATAGACAAGCATCAGCTTTACCTTCTTCCCGATTCCCTTCCGAAACTCAAAAGATGCTTCAGAAGAACATGCAGTATGCACAAACAGCTACGTGAAATTTCTACCTGCATCAAAAAGTTAGCTAGTCAGAACTGGACAGGTATAAAGGACCAGAATAAAGTGTCCAGCTCAACATATGTAAGCATTTTACTCCCATAACCTCCTATTGGCCCATTGAGCTAGACTAAGATACACAAAGCCATCATCAAACAACAAAAACTTTGAAGTCTCTGGAAGAAAGCACGAATAATAAAGCCAAGTGCAACTAGCTCGGTATGAAGAAATTCTAGAAAGAGTTATAAACAGCAAAGACATGAAAAGCAACCAAGCAATTGATGATGCAATGATATTCAATACACAAATCCGCATATCAGATTCCCAGAAGGTTCGGAAGGGAATTTCTGCAACTTACATTTTTAACACCACAGAGATCAAGCAAGGGTCCAAAAAAAGCCTCCATCTTCAGCAGCCCGTTGCTGATCTAAATTATAATAAATGAAGCCAAACATAAAAGAACTGATGAGCATAAATGTGTATCAGTGTACGTGGTTCATGAAAAGAAAACTGAAACCTGTTTACAGATCAGGAAACAAACACAGATACCAGCATTACCTTTATCATGACATTATACAAATCGGATACTCTCGTGGCATCGAATGTATCAAATATGTGTATATGGTTCACAACCGAAGCAGAAGATGCACTTGCTGGAACTGCAGCGGACATACTCAAGCTCATGCTCCCAAAAAGAACACGAAATTCTGCTGGACAGGCCGTCAGTAACTTAGAGAATAGATGTCTCCCTGCCTGTTGGCGGCTTGTAGATCCCCACACAGAAAGCAAGTTCTCAGGAAAAGGAGAGCAAGAAGATGCCCGATTGCCTACATTTTCTCTTACAGGATCACAATCTATATCAGTCTGAATCCCAACAGCCTTGGAGGATGAAGTCACTAGCAGCAAAGGACAGCAATGTTATCAGTACGAAATCCCAAGAAATAAAACAGAGAAATAAACGAGAAAACCAATCAGAGAAACTACATCTATCTCTATGACGGTCCTCCACAACTTTAGCATCTCCAGACTTGAAACAAGCTCCATGAGCATCATTCCCAGCAAACCCTTCCCTTTCCCTGCAACTGCAAAACCGAACCTTCAGAATGTGTATCATTTAACGGATGGCATACAACACTTAAACCATCCACCAAGATTACAAGGAGCTTCAAACCCATGAAAGGAGAATATCGCAACTCACAAGTTCCTAGCGTTTGAAGAGTTAACATCGAAACTAGAACGTGAGTACTTAAGCTGCTCGTCTTTCTTAACCCTCTCCTTCTTTAGTTCAGAGCATTCATGCTCCTGCAACAAAATCTCGCGGCAAGAAATAAGCCCAAGAAACTAACCAAGTAGAAGGACACAAACTGTTAACCGGGGTGGTAGAAAAGGTGGAATTACCGCTACAGCCAATTGCTTAGAGCACCGTTCCAACTCCTTCTGCGGGTTCAGAAAATCAAGAACAATAATCAAAACAACAGGAACCCAGAAGAAATGCAGATGGAAGCAAAATTAGAAAGTGAAGGAACCCAGAACCCTAAAACAGAACCTTCAGTCGCTGAATTTCTTCGTCTTTGGCCCCATCGGTCGGGGGAGAAACGGAAGGGGGAGAAGAGCGGGGCAAAGAGGATCCACCATTGAGGGGCCTTTGAGTTAGCTCCCGCGGAGGCGAGTAACTGATAGAAGAATTCACGGCGGCGGGACGGGAAGGCGTCGGTTGGCGATAGTGGAAGGACGGAAGCTGCGAAGGTGGGTGCGGCAAGTAGGCGACGGTGGCGGGGGGTGGAGACGAGGGTTTGGATTTGGAAGAAGAGGAAGAGGAGCAAGCCTTGGCGAGTTCTTCGGCCTGGTTGACCGCCTCGAGGAAATCTACTTCCCACTCTTCATCTTCCACCCCAAGTTCGCTCATCGTCTGGTTCCACTTTCGGTGCTCCGTGGGAAGACAGGTGAGCGAGAGAGAGAAAGAGAGACGGCGAAGAAGAGGGAGATTTGTGACTTGTGAGTGCGTGGGTAAATTTCGAAAATGGTGGCCGTTCCCATAAAAAAAAAAGGTCTATGGGGAATGGGTAGCGGGAAAATGGGCGGCAATGGGCTCCCACTGGTGCGAGCTTTATTAACTTACAACCAATTTGCTCTGCCGCCCCATCTCAAGACCAAGCCCATAAATTCAATTTTTTTTTTTTTTATCACTAAGCCCATAAGATTCTTCTAGGGTGCTTTGATGATGAATGTAGGGCAAGGTTGTTAAACCCCTATCGAACTTCCGGTTGGACTTGGTCCGACCCGAGTCGAGCTTCAAAACGGTCTCCAGATTGCCCCTTCGGTCTGACACCTAAAGAGGGAGAAGAAGAGAGAGGAAGAGGAATGAAGGAAGGGAGATGGTGGGTGGATCATGGAGGTTAGGTAGATTTATTTTATGAAAATTTAATTTTTAATAGATATATGTAAGATAAACTTTATTTCCGTCATCAAATCTTTAATTACTACCTTATTTGTATATATATTTAGAAAATATCTAAAATGGCTCAAATCAGTCGGATCCCGATCAGACCATTAAACCTCAAACCCCTTGTTTGACCGGCTCGATGACTTAAACCGGTTAGACAACCTTGATGTAGGGGCGGCTGGAGGTCAGTCGGTTTTGGTTTAACCAAAAACTGAATATTCGATGATCGGTTAGCCGCACGATTAACCGACTACCGATCGGTTGGTTATCGGTTTTTTGTTCAGTTAGTCGTGCAATCGAAATATTGCTGGGAGGTTCGGTTTTAGTCGGGGAACTTACCGGTAACGGACCCGACAACAGCTCCACATGCATAAAAAAAATTAGCAAAATTGCCTAAAACTAATAAAGTTCTTGGTTGGCTATTCTCTCTTTCTGGGATTCTATCAAAGAGCTTATTCTTGCAACCTCAAACTCTTTCTTCCCGGTTGGGTAACGATATGCCTCTAGGCTAAGTCCATCTTAATGAAATAGAATATCCTTGCTCAGCTCGCGGCTTTCTCCGGGCTCAAACCTACATTGCTACATTTAAATCACTCAAAGTAAAGTCTCAATCCCTTTTGCATCAAAAATACATCTAAATCACCAGAATTAATATCTCAAATTCAACAACATAAAGTCATAAACTCCACAATTCACAAATCACAATAGATCCAAATAGCAACAATAAGTCAACAGCAAATCATCATCATTCATCACTTATCAACACCAGAAGAAGAACCAACATCTGCAAAACCCTTTTCTTTCAATCGGCCCAACAAGTAATGACCATAATCGTCATATCCATCTTGATCATACTCTTCCTCGAGCACTTCTTCTTCACCCTCCTACTCATCCTCCATTGGAATGTTGAGACTTGCATATGCATTGGCAACATTGTCGGTATCACTTGTACTTTCCATTCTAGACTGGAAAGTGTAACTGAGTAAGAAAAATGAAAACAAAGTGTTAGGATATTCATAATACATTGAATTAGGTGGAAAGAAATAGTGAAAATCTGAAACAACGAGTAATTAAGAGAGTTTTAGAACTCACCACTTTCCAAATTCAAATTCTCTTCATTATCTTCCTTCTCGTCAATCTCTCCGGATCCGGTAGTTGGATAATTTATCCAATCTCAACACAAATCAATGTCTCCACCATTGTATCGCTCAAAGAGGACCTGAATGGACCGAGAATCCGACCGCCACAGCTGAATGTTGCCTCTAAGGCAAAAAAGTGATGTGAACAACTAGGATATCCTTAGCCATCTAAGTAAGAATCAGATATATTCCAGAGTGCCGAGACCACCAACTTCCCTAAGTAAGAATCAGATCTAAGTAAGAATCAAACTTGGCATCATCACTCTCCTCATTGATGCCATCAGTTACAGAGCTACCTCTTGTCTCCTACAGAAGTGCTTCACTTTTCCTCTTCCCGATCCTCTCCTCAAGCTTCTTAATCCTATCACCAACGCCTTCAGCATAACTACCACCATCAATGCTATCATCAGTGGTAGACTCAGATGGAGAGGAGGGTGCTTTTGATCCATACTTCCCTTTGTAAACCTCAAACGCATCTCCGAAGTAATGGAGCTCACAATTTCTTTTCCCTTCAATCTCCCATAAATCATTTCCAAAAACTCGGGTACCATATCCAGTTTACTTTTAGGATCAAGCACACATGCTATATAAATTAAGTGATTCACCTTCATGTTCTCCTCACCAATAACAAGACTCTCAAACCAATACTTCTGTACATTTTCTCAACCTTTTCTGCCACCCTGTGAATCTCTTCATTTGCATCATTCTTCAATTCCTCAATGATGTCATAGATTGGAACAAGCTTCTTGAAGAAGAGATGGGTAGTCATATATTTAGTTCCTATACAATGAGAAGAAAACACGGAAAGTTAGAGTAAAACAAACAAGATGGTCAAACTAAATAAAACATATTTAGTTCCATATACTCGACACTAGGAGGGTCAAGTCATTGAAAACTTTCAGATACTTCGTCAACTTCCTAATCAGCTGTCAATCTTGTTCATTTGGAAGACCACATCTTGAGTCAACATAGTCTCTAAAGGAATGATCTTGTGGACTTGAATACAAAGTTGAAAACACTCCATCAAACCTTTATGCTGACTCTAACATGATATAGGTGGAGTTCCACCTGGTAGGTACATCCAAAGAAACCAATTTAGTTGAATTCACCTTCATAAATTGCTTGGTAATCTTGAACCTCGTCAACTTAGCTGGTGATGACTTCACCCACTTCACATAGTCCCAAACTCTATCCACAACACCTCTTATCACATTCAGTCCATCTTGCACCACCAGATTAATGATGTGTGCCACACATCGAAAGTGTAGATACTTCCCATCCATTAAATCACACTCCCACTCCTTTAGCTTCGTTCTCATGCAATCACTGAGAACATCATTTGAAGTTGCATGTCCATGGTCATGCATAACAGATAACCTTCCATTCTTCAAGAACTCCTGCAAGCTTCTCTACAATATTCTTTCCAGTGTGACTTGTGATGGGAAACAAAGGATAAAACCTTCTTCTGCAACTTACAATCACTTCCAATAAAGTGAGCAGTCACACACAAAACCCCATCCGCGGATGCCACCCGCTCGCACACGCCGCTGCTTCTCCAAAACCCCCTCGAAACCTCCCTCCTCTCTGCCGCACAACCCGTTCCCTTCCTCCCCTCCTCGACCCGTCGACGCTGGTGAATGATGAGGTGGACGGGAGGTTGTGCGTGTGGACGAAACAGATATGATAAATCAATCATATTATTTACTTTTATAATTTAATTAATTTTTATTAAATAAGTACTATAATAAATCATATACACAAAGTAAGCGAAATGATGAGGTGGACAAATAAATTATTATTTTTATTTTTTTAATTTCCACGTCCGTCATCTAGTTAACGGTCAAACTTTATAGTTGACTGCCACATAGGACAAATCTGACGGAGTGTAACGCTCGGTGACTAACGATGAAACGATTCGTAAAGTTAGTGGCGAATAAGAAAGAAAAGTAATTTGGGTGGCAAAAGTGAAAGATTTGTTTAATTCGAGTGACCAAATGTGTAATTTAGCCCTTACTATTCACACTATTTGCAACCCCCTACTTTTTCATCAAAACAATAATTTACCCATCCACTTACACACTCCACCAATTTACACCATCCTGTAGTTTATCCCTCAACTTGTACTCTCTCGAATTTGCACCTCTCTTATTGTCAAACATAGTGTTAAAGACAACTTTGTTAAAATGAAAGTTTAATGACTGTTTTGTTAGTACACTCAAGTATAGTGATAATTTCTGTACTTGACCCGTCCGATTCGTTTCGTTGAGCCTACGAAACAGAATAATACTAGAATTTATATTTTGCCGAAACAGAAAGGGAAAAAGAGAAGAAGAGAAGCTGAAGTTGAAGAGAGAGCAAGCGGAGAGGGTTTACAATTTTCCCTTTCGTCTCCAAGACTTGCTCTCCGCCATCGGCGAAAACACCAGATTCTCCGCCATCGCCATGAGTGCTCTACAGTACCTCGAATCTCAGCGCAACGCGCAACCTGAGCTCGCCGAGTGGTACAATTCCCTCGCGGATCTGTACCAGAAGAAGCTCTGGCATCAGCTCACTCTCAAGCTCGAGCAATTCGTTGCTCTCGCCGTCTTCCAGGTTTGATTTCCGCCGCCGTTCATTCCGAACCCACATTCGCCCGATTGAATTCTGCGTTGCTATGTATCTGTGACTGTTCCGCTGCATTTTCCTTTCTTCAATCCGGCGTTTGGAACTTAGTGTAAGTCGGTTAGGTTTGCAGATCTCCTTGTAGGACTTGTTGCCCTATTTGCTTGCTGCATATTTCTGGTTGGGGGTTGTTTAGGGTTCTTCATTCTCTGCTCGAGTGGACTAGTGAGCATCTCGTGTTTGATGAGTTGAATGTGGCGCTAGCTGATTGAGTGTTTCTTAATTGAGGATTGTGCTCTGAGGTTGAAGCTACTGAGTCGAATTGTTCTCTGAACTTGAGCCGAAGTGGATTTCATATCCCTTGGGATTATTTATCTTTGTTAGGGCTGTGGCTACTGATTCATTTGCCAATACATTGATGCATTGTTGCCTCTTCAAAATGGCAGGCTGGTGATGCTCTCATACAGCTATATCACAACTTCATCACCGATTTTGAGACGAAGATCAATCTCCTTAAGCTTGCCCACTTCGCAGTCGTAGTTTCTCGGCAGTATCAGGAGAAAGAGGCTGCCATTGGGTATCTTGATGGCGTGATTGAAAAGCTCCAGGCTACTAGGGAGCAACGTATAGAGGAACCGATACTTTATATCAAGATGCAGGTAGCCATATTCAAGCTTGAGCAAGGCGATCAGAAAGAGTGCAAGAAGCTTCTAGAAGATGGGAAGAGTACACTGGACAGCATGACTGACATCGATCCCTCTGTGTATGCCAGTTATTATTGGGTTTCATCTCAGTTCCATAAATACCGCCAAGACTTTGCTGATTTCTACAGAAGTGCACTTCTGTATTTGGCGTACACATCAGTGGAGTCCCTCTCAGATTCATTCAAGCTGGTATGTTCTCTTAACTTACCTTGTTGTTGGTATGTAAACACTTAATTCAGTAGATCCTTTAACCAACCTTTTAATTGTTCTTTGATATAAAGACTCGAGAGCTCCAATACTCGGGATCCGGTGCTAGCTTTGGAGTAGCAAGTATTTTAAGATTTGTATATCCATTTTTGTCTAACCGACTCCTAATTATATCGCATAATAATATGATTAGACCATCTGAAAACTTCTGTCAAGTATTCATTGCATCTCCAGGAAAGTTAATTCATATAGACCAATATATATTGCTGATTGTGGTGTAGAGAATTGTGCTAATGTCTGTAACTTGGTGCGAGTTGCTAAGCTATTTCTTCAACCTTGTGGACTCTATTGAATGTGACTCCAATAAGGTGTCCAGGTACCTTAGTAATTTCAAACATACGTGTCGATTAGTAGTTCTTAAGCACTCAGATCTATTTTATAGTCCTTGAAGGGGTCTTTAGATAAACTTTCTTTGACATTAGCTGATGGTTAAGCTACCATAAACTGATTGATTGGTGATGGTTTCAAGCTTCTGTTGTTAAACTCACTCTTGTAAGTGAATAAATTGCATAGAATAGTTTTGTTTGTATCAACTGTGAACTGTCTCTTTGTACAGATCATTCTTTTTATTTTTGAAGCATATACAAGGGAGTTTTAACAGTCTTTAATTTGAGACTATGTTACAGTTCAGCTTCTTGTAAGAACGAAAATTTATTAATTTGAATATGATGACTTTTAGAACCCACCTTTTGCTTTTGTGAGTAACATAAACATGTCCAGCTTTAGGCAATCTGGATACCTTATCTTTTATGGGTTTCTTGATATATTGTTTCTAATTGTTGGTTATTTGAAGCTCCAATACTTGTATTACAGAACTAGTTAGGAACTAGATTGATTCAGTGGTTGCATTAGTAATTCATTTTTTACATTAAATTATTGGTTTCTGGTTCAAATTTGTCAACCATTTTATAAGTTACTTGATTGGTTGTTGTTGGTGCTAACTTTTTATCCTATCCTCTTGTAGGATTTGGCATTTGATCTGTCTCTTTCGGCGCTTCTGGGAGATAATATCTACAACTTTGGAGAGCTGCTTGCACATCCTATTGTAAGAGTTTTAACTCTTGAGTTTCCGAGAGTTGCAAAAGTTAATCAGTGTTTGCCAGTCCCCACTTAGGAAGCTATGATAAGATTTCCATTTCCTTCAAATAATAGTCGTCTCCTTAGGAATAAAATTCTGTCTTGAATGTAACAGATAGGTTTGGCTTCTTGATTAAACTAGAATAACCTGCGATTGTTCAACAGTAGGTGGAAGTTGTTCTTTATGTTTCCATTTGTTGTCCGCGGCTCTGGTTTTTTCCGCTCTTCTCTCCCTTATTTGTTTTTTGGATCGCCTGAATATTGCTGCAGATAAAGAGTCTGCTAGGCACACAAGTGGAGTGGCTCTACTATATTCTCCAAGCATTTAATGCTGGTGATTTAGTTCGGTATCAAGAACTATGGCATGTGCATGAATCTGCCCTCAAATCTCAACCAGCGTTAGTTGAAAACAAGAACAAGCTACTGGAAAAGATCAACATTCTGTGCCTTATGGAAATTATCTTTAGGTATATCAATATGCTGGCTTTACTTTCACCGGGGTTTTTGTGTCGGGTAATTTTGATGCTACATAGCTACTTTCCCTGATTGCTATTTTCTATGTCATCTTTGCAGCCGTCCGTCTGAAGATCGAACCATTCCATTGAAGGTCATTGCTGGGCGCACAAACCTCTCAATAGAAGAGGTGGAACATCTTCTGATGAAGAGCCTCTCTGTAAGTTCCTTCTTTTTTCTCTTCTTTGATATTCAAACATTGAGGAATATATATATTTAAATATCCATACATTATAGGTGTTATCTCGTCACTTTTCCCCCCATTGGTCTCTACTTGTGCATGCCTCTTTAACTACTCGAAGGCGTTCTGTCATTGGTTGGGAAATTTCAGGACACTGGATTAGTTAGGTGATTTCAACATTGTATTTTGCATTGATGAGCCGGATTTCTTAATTTGCAGGTCCATCTGATCGAGGGTATAATTGACCAAGTGGAAGGGACAGTATACGTGTCATGGGTGCAGCCGCGAGTTCTGGGGATTCCACAAATCACGTCGTTGAGAGATCGGCTGGACGGCTGGTTGGGTAAAGTGCACACAGCGTTGTTGTCCATCGAAGCTGAAACGCCTGATCTGGTTGCTTCATAAATCCACAGGGCGCGCCTTTTTCTCTTCTAGGGGAGGTCTGTTTGATTTGCAATGGTCCCATTTGTACGTACTTGATAGTGTGCACCGAGGAAAGGGAGAGACTAGTGGTAAGTTTTGCTTTGCCTGGACAGGGACAGGGCAACTGTATACGGTTTCCTTTTTTGGACAGACTCTTGCACCTTTGTCTCACGAAAAACTGCGGCGATCGCCTCTGTGTGTGGCCTTTCGAACTTCAACTTACGTTTATCAGCGGCTTCGTATGTGTGGTGGGAAGAGTAGCGGACATTAGAAGTTTAGAACAGATGACATCGTCTTCTACTTCTGCAGAGGTGGTTGTTACCCAAATTAGCATTTCCATTTCGCTTTGAAACATTTGGAGGATACTGCTTTACTGTCGTCTAATCTTTACATTCTCGAGCTTTCGTCTGTGTGATTATGGCATTTGCAATTCTTCTAACTATGCAAAATACAATGGTTGTGCTGTAGATCTACTTTCGCCTGCCAGCGTTCTTGCTCGTGTATTGAGGTTTAATCTTCTGTTACCCCCAAGATCTCAGAGCTTCTGAACTTTGAACTCGAAACATTGATCAAATTCGAAATATGTACAGCAAACGTATCCTCGTAAGAGTCACGAGGCAAGTTACGACTTCTGGAAATCTTACCGAGAATCGCATTGTAATGACTCATGCGAGTATGTTACACACGAGATGGCCCGACGCGGTTCGAATGTCAGACTTGTAATACAAGAAAAGTAGAGGTCCAAAATGAGAATTGCGTGGTTGAATAGAAAGAATCACTATATAATTAAAGGTTGAGGCATCATTTGAAGACTGAAATTCTGAAACTTTTAGTACCAGAGCTGGAGTAGTTTGACTAGTTATACTATTGCAGCAGCTACCCAACTACAACTGTCTCACGGTGTTTTCTTACGAGCTATAAAATAAAGGGGCCCTGCAAAAGGCGGGCGACACTCCTCGTCACTCTGCTCCTTTTCTGCGCCGATCAACTGTTTTCCTCTTCACAACGAATCCGGAGGCCGCGACTGCTGATTCCGGGGGAAATTAAGATTAGGCTGAAGAAGATGGCAGTGTAAGCTCATTTTTTTCTCTTTCTGCTTAATGTTTGCGACCATTGCGATCGCTTCCGATACGATTCGATGCCTGTCATGGTGATGCAGAGTTGCTTCTGCTCCCGGGAAAGTGTTGCTGACTGGCGGCTACTTGATACTGGAGAGGCCCAATGCCGGGATCGTGCTGAGCACTAACGCTAGATTCTACGCCATTGTTAAACCTCTCTTCGATCACCTCAGCCCTGAGAGCTGGGCCTGGGTGAGTTCCCGCTTCGATGCTGTTTCTCTCGGGGTTTTTTCTTTCTTTCAAATTCTGGGGTTTCTGAACTGAAATCGACTGGTCGGCGATGCAATTTGATTCTCTCAACGCTGAACTGATTGCCGTTAACTGGATTTTTTTTTCTAGTTTCCAATTTCAGTCACTTCTGATCCTCTTCAGTGTTCATTCCGATCCTGTTCAATGCTCGTTCTGAACCCTTTTTTGTTTTTTGTTGTTGCTAGGGTTGGTCTGATGTCAAGCTGACTTCTCCCCAGCTCAATAGGGAGAGCATGTACAAGTTGTCTCTTAAGAATTTTAATCTTCAGCGAGTCTCCTCCAGGCAAGTCCTTTTGGAGTCTCTTCCTGGATGTCAGTAGTGGTTCAAGCTCATCTAGGAAAGAAGTATTGACATGGATTTGTTGGTATTAGGAAGTATTGAGATGGAAATTTGATTTAATGGATGCTCTGCTGTTTCCAATTTTAGTGACTCGGGAAATCCGTTTGTTGAACATGCGGTAGAATATGCTGTTGCGGCTGCAAATGCTACCTTTGATAGAAGTAAGAAGGATGCCTTAGACAAGCTACTTTTGCAAGGTAAAGAAGAGGCTTGAGAATCCTGGATGTTTTCCTGTTCACGTCCCGTCTTACTTTCGAAACACTGGGAGAATTTGTGATCTTGAGAATATAAGTGTGGAATTTGATTGTCTATGTAGGTCTTGATATCACAATTTTGGGTGGTAATGACTTTTATTCATACCGAAGCCAGGTATTCGTTCCATTCTCGGTTTGTGGTGTAGATTTATCTCATTTCTATGCATAGCCTCTCAAAGAATCTTTCCCCTTTTCACGGCCTAGCCAACATTCGTCCTTATTTTTCAGCTCTTTCTGCTTCAATGGTTCTATTCTCTCTATGGAATGACCTGATTGCTTGGGTTTCAGATAGAAGCACATGGTCTCCCTTTGACATCAGAATCACTGGCGTCACTCCCTCCTTTCAAGTCTATCACTTTTAACGCTGATGAGAATGCAAGTGGTCAACAGTGTAAGCCTGAAGTTGCAAAGACAGGTATGGGCTCATCTGCAGCAATGACCACTGCTGTGGTTGCTGCTCTACTCAAGTACTTTGGACTAGTCGATCTTTCTACCTCCAGCTATAACGAAACTGAAGATCTTGATCTGGTTCATATCATAGCTCAAAGTGCTCACTGTATTGCCCAAGGCAAAGTTGGCAGTGGGTTTGATGTCAGTTCTGCAGTTTACGGTAGCCAGAGATATGTCCGCTTTTCACCCTCTGTGCTTTCATCTGCCCAGGTTTCTCTCCCCCACCAAACAGGATGAACATGTTTTGTTCTGTATTTTACAATGGTATTCCTTGATTTCCAATGAGACTCTCCATCTTAATTTTAAATCTGTCTTGTAGGATGCAGTGAGAGGAATGCCATTACAGGAAGTCATAGTCGATATTCTGAGAGGAAATTGGGACCACGAGAGGACTAAGTTCTCTTTGCCTCCGTTGATGACCTTGGTAAAGTATTTCAGACATATACATTTGTGCATGCACATGTGAACTGTATTTTCAGACATACCGTTTTTGGTGCTCTTTGTATTTATGCACTTGTGAACTAGAACTGTATTTTCAGATAGAATGATTGGACTATCATACAAATATAGTGATACCAATCCTTTATCGATGAACTAGGAAACCCTCTCATACAGAATACCTGTAATTCACTCCTTCAATCCCCATCTTTGGCTCTCCCTGTTGATTCTTGCATTCATGGCAATCTCTAGGGTGTCATATGGCAAAGTAGTTCAGTCTGGATGCTTATGCATCTGGCGGCTTAGTAAATGTTGATTGTATTAACCTTCAAAATGATCATTGTGATTCTTTTGTGAAGTTACTTGGGGAACCAGGAGTTGGAGGATCATCCACACCATCAATGGTAGGTGCAGTAAAAAAGTGGCAGAAAGCTGATCCACAGAAGTCTCAAGAAACATGGAGGATATTGTCAGCAGCAAATTCAGCGCTGGAAACACAACTTAAAGCTTTAAGCCAACTTGCAGAAGAGCATTGGATTTCATATAAATCGGTGATAGACAGCTGCAGCACAACAAAGACTGACAAGGTATCCCAGCAGCTTGCTTTGGCATTTCATTTACAAAGCCATAAAAGGTTATGCTTCTATCAGTTGTTATTGAAGGCATAACATGAATTTCGTATTACAGTGGGTGGAGCAAGCTGCTGACCACAACCAAGAAGCTGTTGCTAAAGCATTACTGGGGGCAAGAGAGGCAATGCTCGAGATCAGAAGGCATATGCGCCAGATGGGAGAAGCTGCCGGTGTTCCAGTAAGCTATTTTGTTTACTGCTTTTTCTTTCCATATAATTCCTAAAATGACCACAATAGTCCAACTCATAAGCTAATCAAGAAAATGGTCACCCGGGTCAGGTTGAAACTGCCATATCTTTTCTACTTTTATTTTCTCCTTCATGTCTATGCTTGAGATCCTCCTGGCCTGTGATTTTGCAGATAGAGCCAGAATCGCAGAACAAATTGTTGGATGTTACGATGAACATGGAAGGAGTTTTGCTGGCCGGGGTCCCCGGTGCAGGTGGGTTTGATGCAGTATTCGCTGTGACGTTGGGGAACTCTAGCAGCAGCAATCTTGCAGCAACCTGGAGCTCGCTCGATGTTCTAGCATTGCTAGTACGAGAAGACCCGTGTGGTGTTCGCCTAGAACGTGGTGATCCGAGAAGCAGTGAGATCACATCAGGTGTTTCTGCAATGAGCATCCAGTAGGGGGTATCTCCAGATTTGTTGTAGTGAAATGTATTCTATTGTTGGAATGAGAGAACTGAGCGAGAGATTGTGCAATACGAGGTTTAGTTTAGGTTGTTTATGGCTTAAACTGGAAGATGCAAAGACCCTTTTGGTCTGAATAATGTGGTAGTTTGGTTTGATAGGAGGAAGAGAATAATTAATGGAAGGAGTGGGGAGTTAAAAGACTTAATTTGTTCTTTACATTCGAATTCGATATGAACCAGATCAGATCATGCACTCACTCAAGAAACAAGCATTTGAGATTGATATTACAACAGGAACAATGACATCAATTACAATTTAAGCAATTAGCCTTATTAACCCTTCCCTTTCCCTTTAGTACTAACCTTTTCCTCCCTAAACTAACAAGGCATAACACTACTTACCAAACCATATTTTATCACTCTTGCCTCACAAATGGAGATGAACTAACATCCGTACTATAACATGAATCCTCAGGCCCACCATAGTAATTACCCTCCTTCTCCTCATCCCACTTCAGCACCTCCCTCACGTACTTGAACCCATCGTCGACGGTCACCCGGTCCCTTGCCCTGGCCTGCCACACGAACAGCTTCTGCCCAGTAATCGACGCATAGAGGTCTTTGAACTTCATTGCCACGTAGTAGTACGCCTGCTGGGCCAGGGACTGTTGGTTGTGGTTGGGTCTCACCGGGCTGAAGTCCGAGAACCACTCGCACGTGCTGAGGTGGACCCGGTTTGCCTTCTCCTCGAACAGGTCATACTTGTTGAGCACAAGCACAAATGGAGTGTCCTTGAAGCTAGGGTGGCGGACCATAGACTCGAACAGTTCCTTGGTCTGCATCATCTTGTTCTGGAGCAGTGACCCGCTGCCCTCGGATGGTGATAAGCTCACCTGGTCGTAGTCGCTGAGGGAGACGCAGAACACTACAGCTCGTACGTCTTCGAACATTTCGACCCATTTGCAACCTTCGTTCATTCCCTTTGCATTCACCCGTATGAGTTGGTACCTAAAACAAGAGATCAGGATGCCGTGGGAAGATGTTGAGATCATGGAGAAGATTAAGTAAAGAGGAAAGCAAGAGGAGAAGATGATTACTTAGTGAGAGGAGGAGGAAGAGCTTCAAGATTATCAGTGTACACTTCGGACATTGGACTCCGATCATCGAGCGAAAATTCGATGAAAGCTAGACCGTTTCCTTGGGTGACGCCTTCTGCATAGAGGATATCTCGCTCAGTGGGTTCATATTCATTGCTGGAGACCTCGACTGCCTGAAAAATGAAACATTATATGGCAAATTTGTCATTCATCACAATCCATTGCACCCTGGTTATTTGTTGCTGAAGCAAATAGAGATTCTAACCCGGCTTAAGAAGTACTCTGCAACATCTGAAAGGAAGTGAAGTTCGTCTTTTCGCTTATATGTTTCCTGGATCGCGGGATCTTTCCACACCTCTTCGACTAATGGGGCATACTCACGTGTGGCTGCAGGGAAGAACGCGTCCAAATCTCCAGTGGCTATAATGTCAAGCAGCCAGTCAGAGAAATGCTTCAACCTTGGGTTGATGGAGTAGATGCACTGGTTGTTGGTTTCAACTGAGTCGGCTTCTCCACCTGAAAGAACAGTCGAAATGTAAATTACTAATAGGAGCCAGTTTTTTACTTTGACTTTACCACCTATATATAAGTCTTACTAGCTTCAGAGTCCCGATCTTCAATCTCCACCTCTGCGAGTAACTCTTCCTCAAAGCGCTCTCGTCCATCGAGCAAGACGCTAAGATATCGATACATATTGCTCTGTATCATCAACTTGATATCTTGCAGCTCTTCTGCAGTGAACCTGTTTCCATACAAGAATTTAGCCTGCAAAAAATGACACCATCACTAACATAGTTCGAACAACATGTTCAGTTCAGACCTAGGAACAATAACAGTGGCGGAGCCAGAAATCTGAATGTGTGTGTGGGAACTGGGGGGAGGGCTAAAGCCTTACAGACTACTCTATTTTCTAAATTTTGTTACAAATTTTATATGTACTTTTACCTATATTTCAAAGTTGAGGGGACTAGGCTTCAACCTAGTTCCGCCACTGAACAGTAGCTCAAACTCACAGCAATAAACCAACTTGTGTACTTATTAATCGGAAAATATACTCTTGTTTCAACTTCACAAGAAACAAGAAACATATCCAATTAAACAAAGCAAGCATTCCTCAGTGAAATAACAGAACTTCTACCTGCTTGAAAATCGTGCTGGTTCCGGATCCCGGGAGTCCGAGCAAAAGAAGCTTCTGGACTCTTTTCGGCTCGAGATAATTCGGAAGTGTAGTGTAAGTGCTAGGTTCATCTCTCTGACCAACGGGTTGACCATGAGGAACAGGCAAAGAGAAGAGTGTGCAGACAAACCGGGTTGATGCCTATCTAGCAAGAGGCAATCCACAACATTTCATATATGACCAAGTGATAGTACATAGTTTACCAAAATATTGTTAATATGAGTTTTCACACAAATATACCTTCTCCCAAATGTTTCCCCTTATATTATTCTGACCTTCCTCCTCATAACGGCCATCATCGTAGACCCAGAAATGAGTATCACGGGGACATTGCACCTTTGCCAGCTGGAGAACAAAGAAATTTTCATAACTAAACTCTTCAACATTTCTCTACTAAAATTCTCCTGGATCACAACGAATGATAGTAATCAATCCTAAACCAGGACACCCCACTTCACAAATTAGAGAGAGACTACAGACCTTACAAGGTGACAGTTCAGCTATAGATTATTAATTTATTATCCATACTATGCAGCTATCTATCTAAAGAAAACACTTACTTTTAGCACCCTCAGCTCGAGCTTAGTAATTTCTCTGCCATTAATGTAAACTTCAGTGTTGCCATTGCTTGCATCAGGCATGAGTTTCCCAGTGAAGTTTAAGTTTGAACTAATGATTCTATCTGGTTTTTCTCCCTCCTGTAAAATGGAACAATGATAGCTATATAAAGTCCTGCTCATCTTGATAAGTAATCAACCACAACTAGAAGAAACTCCTCACCTTTCCCCATTGACCAGACTCCTTGTCATACCAATATCTACCGGGCTTCAATTTCTTTGGTGGCAAAGGACATCCAAGTAATTCTGCCATCTCCTCTGGCTTCAAAGGAAACCCATTAACAATCAACTGCTCTGGCCTAAGCTGATTAGCAGAACATTCCTTTTCTGATTTCATAATGTGCTTAACTTCCAAAGCACTGAGCAATCTCGATAAGACACGAGAATGCCTCCCGAGCTTAAACCTCTTTGACTCATCAATCGGCTCACCTATACATGTCACACACTTACGCCCCTCGGGCATAGATCCCATTGCCCTAAGAACACAGTTGCTACAGTATTTTGCATCACAAACAAGGCATGACTCCTTCAATTCCCATTTCCCTTTTCCACACCGATAGCAAACTCTACTCCTTTTCTTCTTCTTTTCCTTTGACACCCCAACAACATACTCGGGGTAAACTGACCTATCGGTATCCGAGCCTTTGCTGTGGGTAGAGGTATCAACAGAGTGGAACTTGACAACTGGCACTCGCCTCGCTTCATTGGCCACCACATGATTGGGAGGGTTTCGAGCTGATGCAGGTGAAGCTGATGCTGAAGCTGAGGAAGAGTCGGGATTTTGGAGAACTGATACTACTGACTCCGAGCTTGCTGATGCCCGAGGGCTTTGGGCGGGGGAGTCTGTGACATGGGCAATGTAAGACACTGGCAAAGGTATTGGATTGATCACAGGCGGTCCTAGATTCACAGCTGATCCATTTGAGACTTCGAGCGGCTCAGCAGTTGGGATTCCATGGGAACTGACATCAAGAGGTTCAACCTTAGGGACCTCGTAAGGCATTGGAGGGCCAAGGTACTCTATAGCTATGGAGTAATCGAGCTTAGCCTCATCTTCAGGGAGAGAAGCACCTGGTGGAAGCATTTTTCGTACCAGTTCCTTCCAGCTCTCTCCTCTATTTTGCTCCATTTCTCTCAAAAGAAATTTCGGAACAGAATATGATATCTACCTCAGATTTTTCAGAGCTACCTACTCAAACTACACAGCATCCTTCATATCACCATAACATCAACAGATAAAGAAGTAGAAATTGTACACCGAATTCAAGGTGCAACCCGATTGGCAGAAGTCATGAGCTACCATTGATCAAACAAACATTTCTCAGGAACATTCACAAAATGACTCCTTTCTCATCTGTCTCCAGCCTTCAAAATGAGAAACACCAAGGGAAAGTCTAGAGATGATTAGGAAAACTATCCAGATCTTCTGAATAGAACCCCAAATTCAAGTACTTGTCGACCGGTCAACAGAATTTCTTCAAGCCAGATAAATTCAACAGAACATCGGAAATACCACCTGAGAAGCAGTCAAAACAATCAAGGGAAGCATCCAAAGTTAAAGAGAGCTATGCCAGACAAAAATTCCAGTTGCCTTCTTCCTTAAATCTCTGTCCTACTCTATTTTTGTTTGATTTGTTCACAGTCCAAGCATCTGACTTTTCCCAACAGACCAACACCAAGCCACAAAGTCAATAATCAAAATTTGCAACCGTGGGATCCTTTGAAGGGGCCGGCCCGACGAAACTGTCAAAAACGGTCAGCAAAGCAATAAACAATGCAGACCAGAAAAACAAAGGAACCCTAGAGCTGTATCAAGACTAATTTGATTTCAAAACCACCACATCCACGAAAGACCAAGTACGGATCAGAAAAAAGGAACCCATGAAAGGGAAGCTGAGAAAGATGGCTTTTTTAAGCCGTGTTTAAGAAAGACCACTGTGTGAAGACACAAAAAGAAAGGAAAGGCGCAAACTTTGTAAAGGGGGATGGAAGAAGAAGAAGGAGATGGGGGAAATTGAGGGTTATAAAAAAAGATACCTGTGAGAAAGGGACAACACACGGTCGGATGAGAAGCCAAGCAGGCGGACAGATTTTTGAGGAAATCTATGATGAACAACCTGGTGAAGAACAAGAGGAATTGGGAGAAAGCAGAAGTGACTAATGAGAGAAGGTTCGATTGGCTTGGGGGTAATGAAATGATGGGATGACACGATGAAATCTACTCACTCACTACTATTTCCTTGCTGAAGAGTTGAACAGTGCTCTCCCTTTTGGAGAAGAAAAAAGAGAAACGCAGACAAATGAATAAAACACGGAGAGGAAAAGGGAAAGATGGCGAAAA